TGGTGAGCTAGTTTGAGTGAGTTCTATCGAATCATGAAATATTTTTTTGTGATATAAGCCCATTAGGAGAAATATTAATTTTCGTTCAAATGTTATTTCTCTCCAAATGACATTGAAAGTGGATTTTCAATGACACTCAACAGGCTGAAAAGGTGTACTTCTACTGCCTAGGCAGAAGGAGTTTGTTGCTATGCAACATTCCAAGTGATTTGAATCAAATTGGTAATCAAAATTGACAATGACTTCGGGTGAACAAAAAATGATGGATTATTAGAATTTGAAATTGAAAAGAATCTGAAGAAAAAATCATGTTTCACATGGAAGAAGGAAGATGTAATGCCTTGGCTGGTTTCCTAGCCTCGGCTACGCCTAGGCGATGAAACGCCAGTCGGGGCATCAGATCTTGTACTCTGCTGCCTAGTAAAACAAATAACTGATTCTTTGAGTTTTTTCATTGAATGAAATATTTAGTTTGATTTTTGAATGCCGCTGGCAGATTATCAAGGAAGATAAGTAATTATAACAAAAAGTTGCCTATTCAGTAAATATTCCGAAATGGTATAACATGTAGGGATATTCAGAACATACTTTTTGTTATTATTTTTTTCAAATGGGTCGCGTTTTTTAGAAAAATTGAATATCCTTGGAACCATCAACAATTTGATAACCACAAATATACCATAAGTTTGATTGCAAATGACCCCCCCCCCAACAACCCCTTTCTTTTGATCCATGACTTATGGGTCATCTTGTATATTGTCATTGATTCATCTTGCCAAAGAACAGTTGAACTTTGTTTTTCATTTGATACATTTCCTTCCTGACTCAAAAATTCTTCGTCAGTATAATTATTACACTCGAAAAACTGTCATTAGACGAAATTGTTGCAATTTTTTTTTTCGTAAGGAAGCGACGTTTATCCGATAGAAAAAGCTGTTGTGAATTTACTGATGATTAAACGTTTCCATGAAACGTACGTCCTTTCAAACTAACCTGTGACCAGACGTCCCGTTTTGAACGGGACTGTCTCTTGTTATGATTACGAGTCCCAGATGGCTTGCTCTTAAGGGTTTTGAAATTGTATCAGCCATTGAAAAACTACTTTTTGAGTATTGAAAAATGTCCCCTGCTACTGAAAAACTCTTTGAAGATCCCACATCCGAATTGTGGCTTTATTTTTTGCACGCTCATTCAGCAAGTTTTCATCAAGCTGTATTGAAACTTGAAGGTCAGACTGTAACGGCAATTGAAGCTGTAAAAGAAATCAGTTTCTTCCATTTTCGGTCCGTCAATTGATAGTGAAAACGAAAGATAATGGTACTGAAATAGATGGAGAGTTCGTGAAAAGGACGGCCACAGAATTCTATAAAACAAGCCGTGAATATTTGGAGCAGTGGACTTGCTTTCTTACCAAAGAAATGGAGATAATTTATTGGGCAGATTTGAAAAAGGTCCCCGCATGGGAAGACGTTCAAAAATCTCTGGATGTATTAATTGAAAAGGGATATATCGACTGTAATAAAGATACAGAAGTTTTTGACGAATTTTCACATTACATTACATCGCATAAAGTAACCGAGTGGAATAATCTACATATTTCCACGGAAACCCGTTGGGTAGAAGTATTCAAACACTTCCACAACAACAATCTTGAACATAAAAACATTTCTTTTTGGATTGAATATATTTTATGTTTTCTTGCCACGAATGCTCCAGTGGAAAGAGTATTTTCTGTCATGAACAAATTGTGGACTTCTGAGAAATCTCAGTTACAAATTCCAGTTCTTGAGGCTATGTTAACAATCAAGGTGAATATAAATAAAACGTGCCAAGCCCAGACAGCACCAGATATTTCGTGAATATTCATTCATAGAATATTCTTTTTGGATATTGCGAATATTCATGAACATGCCAGGGATATACATATCATCTATGGAATATTCCTTGAATGTGCTGGTGGAGAAAATTCTATATATTACCGGAATATTACACAAGAAATATTCCCTATATATTCAGAATGTACCTATAATATTCTAGGAATATTCAGATGATATTCGGAATATTCCAGAAATGATTCAGGAATATAAATAAATGAATATTCCGGGAATTTTCCTCAATACATATTCATTATTGGAAAAAGCTGACTCAAGATGGGCTCGAACTCGGACTTTCAGACTGTCAGATCAACGCATCAACCATTCGGCCAGTAATCGAGTTGAATAATACTGTACATAACAATTCATTGAATTGCGTTGTTCAGAAGCGGATCATAAACACTTCCAGTTCCATATAGGCTCTTAACATGTACGATGATCTTTGAGTACTTTGATCACTACACACAGAAAAAAAATTTCTTCGAATGAGAAAACCCATTCTCTTGAAAATTCAATTGTATATCTTCTTTGAATTGAGCATATTCTTTTGAGTCGAGAAATCTGGTATGTTCAAGAAAATAGTGTCATATTATTGAAATATATTCTCAAACCAAGAATGTAATTATTGAATTACTAAATTAATTACTTCAACTCAATCAAAACGATTTTTCAATTCGCAGAAGCGTACTATTTTGTTTCAATAAATTTATTGCTTGATCCAAGAATATAAGTATACATTTCTTCAAATCAAAGAATGTCCATTTCATAAAATGACATATTTAGTTTTCTTGAATTGCAAAAACCTAATATGTTGAGGCAATACGCCATTTTCTTGAAACAAAAATATAAATAATTATTTCTTCAAATGAAGCATTCTAATTTCATCATATTGGTATTATAATTTCTTCAAATCGAAGACTCCTGATAGTTTTATTCTATGCCATATTTACTTGATTCAAAGATATGAATATCAATTTTCTCAAATGAAAGGAATATAATATCTTCAACTTGATGAATTTGATGATATTAATAATTTCTCTAATTGAAGAAGCCACATTTTTATTCAATACTTTATTTACTTGATTCAAGTCTATGAATAGGTATTTCTTTGGAAGAAAATAATATGCCCTCGGAAATCAAGGGTAAGCAATCCTGTTGCCAAAACTCAGGCCTCAGTCTTCAATCATTATTGACCATGCTCACATCATTATGACAGGCCCAGAACGGCGAAACGGCATTAAGCTGCGAAGTTTGAAAATTCTGAATGTTTTATTGAGTGTGTATAGGTGGAAATGTCTTTGAATATGAATATGTAACGAATGCAGAACTTGTAGAGAGCTATAACATTGAATTCCCTTGGTAAGTAGGTACCTGTCCAAATATCGATAGTCATTGTGAGTGAATCAACAATTTTTCAATCAAAATAACAGGGATTTAGTAGTATCCTGCTTTGAAAATATGCTTATTAATTCATTCGAAATTTTTTTTGTAGCAAAATGACGACTGGTTGATGAATGAAGAAGTATTATCTACAAATGACTTGCAAAGACTTGAGAAGACATTGATATTAGGTGAGAGAAAGTTTCCTATCGAGTATCTCGAATCTATATACCCGATATCTTCCAGAAGGCATGATATTACTGGAGTCACGATATTACATATTATAGAGGTGAGTTTTTAATCAATCATAATACTTATATGTCATTGTTTGTAACCGTTATCATTTCCAGCGAAACTTCAAGAAGACGAAATCGAGGCATGTGATTATTCTATAACCATTTGGGGTCTTGATGGACAATACTGATCCAAGATGTACATACCTATACATGGGATTATTGTCAACTAAAGGAACAAATATATATTTCTTCACGAATATTCTGTGGAGTTTAGTTATCTCATTGGGAACCATTCACAGTTTTGAATCAAAAACATTATTATATTTTTATCCAAGCAGTCAATATCTTGATACAAGAAAATAGTTCCATTGGAGAAAATGAGCTCAATATCCATTATAAAAAACTTATAAATTCGGATCGAAAATATCAATGTGTTCATTGAAAATTTACGGAATTTTGACTTGAATAAATCGTTCATTTTGAAATGAAATAGAACAATTCTCAATAATAGTAATCCATAGTTGCAAATTGAGAAAATGATTGTTTTCATTTGGTGGATGAATTTCATATCTCAAAATTATGGTTTTCCTGAAATAAGTAAATGATTTTGTCAATATGAATTATTTCAATTCTCACTTCAACATAACAAACGTCTCCAACCATGCATATCTTGATTTTCCTACAAGAGAGTTGTTGAATAAATCATTGTTTCGGAACAAGAATATCATCTCTTTCGTTATATACAAACAAATCATTTTCTTGGACCAATGCAGTCATGCTCAATACAAGAGATTCTTTTTTTGTGTGTACCTATAGAAATTGTGGAGACCACTTTGTGTTTTTAATCCCTGGTAATATAACCACTTTACTTTGAAATACGATGGACTTTTACCACAGATTCCAAAATCAATGACTCACATCTATAAAATAATATATACTCCTCTTTCAGCATATTCAGAGAATATTCTAGGAATATTCGGTGCTGTCTGGGAGAGTGTCATTCTTACTTGAAATCATCACCAACTATTTCAAAGCAAATTTGTTCCTCTGATAAAATATAAATATAACTGAACATATATAAGTATATAACTTTGAAAACGTGTTCTTTCTTTATTGATAACTAGGAATAGATCTAAATGAACCAATGTCCCGTTTTGAGTCAAAGAATAAAAAATGGTCACGTTAGGTATAGGTAATAGAGTGTTCACTGGACTGAATGGCACGGTATTTACTTCAATTCTACATTTTTCCATCGCTTTAGTAGGCAAATCTCTTTTGATAACAGCTTGACCATAAGTGACCAATGAAAAAAATAATCTGAAGGTGATTCTTGCTGAGTGTAACAATGTCACACCTCGCGAAATCCGAATATCATTGTTTCTTTGGCGCTCGCCAGGTGATGGTTCGCGATTTCTTCTACAGGGTTGATCGTTGTTTGGGTGCCTAGATTTATTCCGGAAGCAATATGGGTCAGTAATCGATCGTTTCGCTGATTTTTTTGATGAATTGATATTTTTGAGTTCGGGTGAATGAAGTTGGTTTTGTTTTGGTTCCAGGGTTGGACTTTATCGAGGGACAAGGGGAAGATTTCGAGAGAGCTTTAGAACTTACTGGTAAGTGCGTTTTTGTCCGTTTTTTTTTTTTCAATTTTCAATCAATGTGAGTCCAGCATTTTGGTATTCATTTCCGTATTTAGTATCTCAGTATAAATATACTATTCCATTTAGATCATATTTGTGCCACCATGAATAAATCATACTATGCCATGAAATAGATGGAATCAAGCATAGACGAACCTGCACTGCTCAGCATTTACTATGCATTGGTGTATTTTTACACAGGGTATGTCACGACGAGTTTACACTATCTCTATATCAAGAATCAGTCAGTGGAAATCCATGAAACTATGCATGCTGATATTTTGGAATACGCCCCCTTCATTTGGAATATTTTCAGCAATGCAGTGTTGCCGCTTCTATCAAAAAGTAGCAACAACTTTGTTATTCCAACCAGAATCTCCTGTATTTTATTGCATCTTCAGATTTTTCCTGAACTGATTTCATCAATACATTACACTATCGAAAATGATTACAGAGATATAGGGTTTTGAAAACGAGATTTTTCAATTCTAGGATTTGTTTGTGTCGAAACTATTGACTATCTGTCAAAATGGCTCACATGTCCCTATTTCAACTCTTGATTCACTATTCACTGATATTTAATCGAAACAGATACAGGGTGATCAGAATTCTGAATCATAAACCACCCTGTATCTGTTCCGATTGAATATCAGTTGATAGTGAATCAAAAGTTGAGTGTGCCGTTTTGACCGATAATGAATAGTTTCGACAAAAAAATTCCTAATTTAAAAAATCTCGATTTTGAACACCCTATATCTCTGTGATCATTTTTGATAGACCCCATGTGTGGCATATCGATAAAATCAGCTCTCTAGAAAGAAAATGAGAATGCGATAAGATACAGGGTGTTCCATTCGAAATATCAATGTTGCTACTACTTTCTAGTTGAAGCGACCACACTGCATGGTCGGAAAAATTTTGAATGAAGAGAGCGTATTCTGATATATAAACATACACATTTTCATGGATTTCTCCCGACTGATTCTCGATATGAAGATAGTGTGAGCTCGTCGTGACATACCCTGTATAAGTTCAAATATTATGGTATGAGGTAGATCAAAGAGCTCTTCAAGAATTTTCAATACTTGAAGTAGCTATTTTCCTGACAAGTGCGCAAAGTGTTACTTTTCCAGACGTGAAAACAGTTAGACGAACGCTAAAAGCGGAGTTCAGATAAGTTTTTGCGTGCGAAAAAGACACTGCGTACGTGTTATCATATAACAACGAGAATAAAAAAGAGCACTTGTCAACTTAAAAATGGTGACAACTTTTGAAGAGTTTTTGAAGTGCATCTTCCATAAATCTGGAAACTTCACTTTTCTGAGGTGTTTGACCTCCTTCGGTCGGTATCCCAACATTTTGCTTCTTCGAAGACGATGTTTGCTTGATATATTGATTGAAATTCAAGTGTATTTCAACTTTAAGAACACTCCTTAACGTAGAGTAGGTTAATATAATTCTACTTTTTTGATATTCTCATGATTTCTTGGAGGCAACTTATTTTCTCGTATTCTTCTTGGTGAAAAAATAAAAGAATTTGATAGAGCGGAAAAAAATTCATGACAACGGTACTTCTATCGGAATACAAATATTGTAACCGTTTGCGAGATATTTGAGCTTTTGTAGTCACTTGATATCAGCAGATTAATTCGTAAGTAACAATATTTTAGGAGGCCATGATCAATTTTGTTCTTGATATCGACATCTATGACAAGAGGATTGTTATTGTTGATTTCTTTGTTCAGTTTTTGTGTATAGTGATATTATTTCTTTCTATTATGATGTTCTTCCACATTCCGTGTGTACCAAGTGTATAAAAAATGAAGAATTGATATTTTTATCATCATTACTATTATTATTATTATTATCATTATCATTGGCTCGAAACTTCTCGAATATGGGTATGGGAAGTGACGTTCCGACCCATGATCGATCCAATTGCAAAATGAAACTCTCAAGACATTTGATCACTTTGATGAACAAGTGTTGGGATCCCCCATAAAGCCCCTTTGGGCCTTGGGCCATTTGCCCTTCATTTTTATTATTACTTAATTTAAAAATTGTATCATGCAATAATTTTATTAACTTCTCCTTTTTTCATTTCCACAAAATTGTCAATTAAAATATGCTGCTGATGATGGACTATTGATAGTCCGAAACATGTACAGATACTGATTACTCAGTCAATAAATTTGTGGAGATGACTTTGTGTGTCTTGTTTATGCATTCCTTTTTGATTTTGTGAAAGAAATATCTCTTCAATCTCCATAAATACTGACTATCATTAAACATCAGGTTCTCTACATCCTTATACAAGGTGTTTCGGAATTGAATTCGAAGATTTCAAGGTAATATTTTTCAGATCAAAATATAGGACTATTTTTTTCCATAAATATGTGCCCGCGAACGTTTCGCTACCTGTATAAAGAAAGTTGAAATATCAAGATTATTTCTCCTTTTCTTCACAGTTTTTTTGGATTTTTGAATATTCAGATGAAACTTGCATGCAGCACAGGTTGAGTTTGAGGGTCCATATCATACAGCATGCCGAGTGATTGTACGAATCTACAGGAAGATATTTTTTCATCGGTCAAGTCCTTTCTTTGGAATAATATCACCTCCTTGCATAATCATGAAATATTTATCTACCCAATAAGTGCGGAAAGTAGTACTTTTTCTCACGAGCCACGCGGAGCGGAGTTTGGACAAGCTGTCAAGGGTAGAAAACACATTCTTTGCAAAAGTTGGTACAATGTTTTCCCACGAGTGTTATTGTCCATATCATTAAAAAAAAGGAAAAGGTCTTCATACCCTGAAACTGTTGGATTCTGTCCAAAAAAAGGCAATTCGTCTCGTGGGTGATGCCTCACTCACAAACTCACTCACTCCTCTGGAACACCGTGGAAAAGTTGTAGATCTAGCTCTATTTTATAGATATTCTCATGGACGATGCTCTTCTGAAATATCAACAATTGTACCTTCTTGGCAGTACACGCGAGATCAACCTGTCGAGTTGAGGATTCGCACCCCTTCGTGGTCACTTTGGAGACCTGCAGAACATCTCTTTTCAATGACTCGTTTATTAAAGCGAGGCTCTGGAACACATTGCCAAGGGCGATGTTTCCCGAGGCATATAACCTCCAGAAATTTGACCTTATTTCTCTTGGTTCTCACGATGTTCTCTGAACATTACAGGATATTCCTTTCCGTGGGAACCAGAACATAACAAATATCTCTTCCCGATGTTTTGGGAATGGCAACCAAATAATGCTGATGTTAATATAATATCGACAATAAATGATCCAGTCATATTCAGTCCATTGGCAATGAAATATTGCGGTAAGGTCTAGGTTATGCCTTCAACAAAATGTTAGACAGTATAATCACGAACAATGAAAGACGATAACATTACCGCAACATTATAATCACCAGAGGAGGTCAAAATTATCATGAAAATTTGGCACGCGTTTGTGGACATATAATATTACGACTAACTCGCTATTTCCAGGTCAAGTTTCATTTTCATTTCGATATCGCATCAAACGTGTGACTGCTAATTTAATCACTACGTTTCAATGTCGGTTTAAATGGTATTAAGTAGGCAAAGTTGGGGAGATCATTACTGTTAGATCTTCTTGAGATATGATGATTGATTTCCTAGCAAATACGATATAGCTGATGGCGATTGAATGGCCCATTGATTTTATCGACAGACAGCATACCGCTGCCACTGTTTTTCGGTGTTGAAAAAGTTCATGTTCATTGCTCAACCTACCATCACGTCTCACTCCTCAAACTGTATTGACAATGTTCTTTTTTTATGTTCTGGTTCCCTCGAAAAGGGATATCCTCTAATGTTCAGGGAACATCGTGAGAACCAAGGGATATGATATAGGAGTTGGTGTTCTTCTTGATTCTTGAATTTCTGGAGGTTATATGCCTCGGGAAACACCTCCCTTGGCAATGTGATCCAGAGCCTCGCTGTTCGTTTTGATCAACAAACATTTTCTGCATAGGCAATACTCACTTTGTTGAGGCAGTAAAAGTACACCTTTACTGCCTGTAAAGTGCCATCAGAAGTCAGTTTTGATGTAATTTAGAGAAAAATATGCTATTTTAACATAATGCACACGACAGATTTTTTATGATCGATTGCGTTTATTTCTTATTTCGAATTTCTGTTGCAAATAGCACAGGATCTATCAATAGCTTCCCTTTCCGAGATACTTCTTTATCAAAATAACGTTACAGAATGAATGTCAACTTCGAATCATCTACTAGAAAGACGGGTACTCTCTACTTTTCATCATCATTCATCAACAAAACAAATCGCCACGATCAGCATAAATTTGATGAATCTTCTCAGTAATCTTAAACATCCCCGGGATGTCCGCCACTGAAATCACTTCAATGTATCGTTTTATTTGCAACTTTTCTGATTCCGTTTGCTACTTCTCATTTCGCCTCAATACAAGGAATGACGTAGAATGACTGTTGGCAGTTGTCAAAAAATGAAATTAGATTGACTAAAAGCCATATACGTATTAATAAACAATACGGATCATAACGGGTGTCAGGATGAAGCCAAAAATATGAAACAAATGAATATCCATAAGGATTTGGTGGCATGATACGCATGCGCCATGCGCTATCATAGTAGTCATCAAAGACATGCGTTTCGATGGACAATGACGTTTACTAGCCTTTCAATCAAAGCAGTATGTGTCTGATCGTTTCAAAACTTTTCCTTATGGATAGTCATTTGTCTTCAAAAATCGTCTTCATGTTTCGCTATGGAAACAGATAGAGATTATCCGTATTGATTATTAATACGTATATGGGATTTGCTTGAAGTACCCCAACCTGATCTCTCGACTCTTCAAATCACGTGGTCTGAATCCATGCAAATGCTACTCTAACCCTACTCTGACTCCACTCCGTATTTCCGAACTCGCCTCCTCTTTGATGATATG